CCATTCTTACATTTTTTTTTTTTTTATTGAACTCTCCGAAATCAGATTTAACAAGAAAACATTCTGTATTAAGTCTACATTAATTTGTTGTAGATAAAAATCTTAATTCAAGCAGTTTTATTCTTAAAAGATAAAGAACAGCTTTAGATTTAAGTTTAATATTATTTTATGAAAAAATGTGCAGTTGAAATTGAGTTTTTAAAAAATGGACAATGTATACAGAATTTAGTTCACAAAATTTTTACACACACACACTTAACAATTTTTCATTTGTTCATGGCAAAAACACAAAAAAAAAAGATCCAATCAAAAGTTGCCAGGGCAACATCTAGAATATTTTTGTGAGACATTTTTCTGTACATATGATTTTTTCCTTGAAAAATATATTTTAAAAAAAATGGAGTTCAAACAAGATAGAAGTGGATGCGGTTCGGTTTGATCTGATTCCAAAGGGATCCAAATCGAACCGAGTACTAATGATAATTTTATAAATGGAATCATTGGTTTCATATCTAACTATAGAATCGAACAAGAACTGCTTCTGGTCCGGTCCGATCTAATCTGATTCTTTATATTAAAAATTTTATGAAAACAAAATATTTAATTACTTGTCAGATTAATTATAGATAAAATAAAGTTAAATTCACTTATCATTCTTGTAATCTAATAATTAATTTAATAAGGTATCCAAGACTCGAGATTAATTAATGAGGGTATAAAAAAGGATAAATTATTAAACACAATATAAATTGTAAAATCTAGATCAAAAATTAATTCTTAAAAAAATTCACACAATAACATATATTAAAAATATGTATGTAGTATTTATAATTTGATTATCTTCAAGAACTTGATTCTGACGATCAACCACTTTTGACAATAACAGAAATTTAAGTTCTTACGAAATATTGAACTAAAAATACATTTTTTTTCCTATTGGGATTGCATTAAAAGCTTAAAACTATGACTTTTTATAAAGTATTTATAAAATTATTTAGATTATAATGTTGATGATGAGAACTATGGTACGGGAGTTAGCAACGACGATGATTTGTTAATTGTAGAGGAAGGACCAATGACTTGATCACTCGTAAAGAAGGTCAAAGAAGTTTATGGAATTACTTGTTAAAGCTATTGTGGATAAAACATCGATCATGACAAGCAAAAGAATAACTTTCATATTGGGTTTGGAAGACGGAACAAAATGGATCAACTGGGTCAAGCAACGGACGAATGACGTGAAAATAATAACTATGCGACCGCATAGTATACCTAGGCATGCGGCCACATGCATCTCTACAGAGAAATTAATGTGGCATTTCGGATGAATTATTCCACAGCATGTCCATACACTATGCGGTCGCATAGCACAAGTCCGACAACGGATTTTTCAATTTTTTGAAAGAATCTTAGTTTAGTTAAAACTTTTTTATGGTATTTTTTTTTATATCTTTTAGATTCAATTCCGTTTTTAACTGGACTTTAAGGATTCCATATAAATAAAATTATTCTTTTCATTATAAAAAATACACAATTTGAGATATATTATTGCAAGGCATATTGTTTTCTACTCGTGCTTCATTAAATTAATTCTGAATTTATCAAGAATTAAATTTTTATGGAATTCAACAATTTAAGTAAGATTCATAAGTTTTGTGATCACGGGGTCAAAATATTTTTGACGATTGTCATGGTTGTTTGGTTCAATAATTTATTGGGTCGAACTTTTCAAACGTTGATTCTTGATTTTTTTGAGTTTGATCTAATTTATCGTGAATTTCGTAACTTCAATTATTACGTTGGTTCACATTGATTGATTACTTATTAAGTTTTACTATAAAATAAAGAAAAAGAAGTGTATGAAAGGTGAAATTTTGGCTGATATCTATCATATATTTATGCAAAATATCAACAAAAAAGAAAAATGAGGGAGAACCAAATTCACAACTGATTTTTAAGATAGCATCAAAAATCGAACCGGAACCGAATCGACCGGTTCTATTCAATTCTGATCTGATTCCACTAGTTTTGGGAAAAAAAAAGCCCACCCATAAAACAAGAGCAGGATCTACAATTTTTCAATCATACATTTTATCAATTTTTATCAAAATTTATTAAAAATTAATTTTAATTGTTGCGAAGTTAATTCAGTAAATTAAGTGCATGTTTGACACTCATTGATTTATTTTATAATTTGTTATATGATCATTTTCAATAATACATTCAGATAATAAAATATTTTATATGTATATTAAATTTTTTTTCAAAATTTTTAATTATACGATCCTAAAAATTATTATTCAAAACTATTTTTTCTATAACAATGATGGTCAAAGCTCTCAAAAACGAGACATCCAATGAAAAATAGACACGTCATTTTGACCATCCTGTAAATTATGAACTCTCACATCCAATCTCACTGATCTTTCTCTTGCCCTCTTATTACCCAAACACGCCCTTCTCTCTCTCATGGCTCTTCTGCTGTAGCCGTCGCCAAAATAATACTCAAATTAACTTGCTCGAGTACAGACTACTCATTGCATCGACTCGATATTCTATAGTAGGGTTTCCGTTAAGATTTCAACTTAACAGAGAGATGCATGTGGTTCCGCCTCCTACGCAGCGCACCGATCCGTTATCCGGATCCACAAATGGGTCTGATGATCACCGAATTTACCAGACTTGGAAAGGAAGCAATGTGAGTTCATCCTAGTTCTACTTTCTCTCACCCTTCTCTAATTCATCAGTATTGTTATTAATTAAGGATTTTTTGTTTAATATTTTCTCCTTTAATGGTACTCAATACAGATACCTTTAATTGGAATTTGTGGCGCTAGGCATACGCATATTTTTTAATTCAAGTTGCTTAAAGGAAAAAAACTTAGTATAACGAAAGAGGAAAAAGAAGAAAGAAAAAGTTAGCTGATTAGTTACCGGACGCGAGGTGTTTCGGAATTTATTGTTGACAAGAAAGTAGTTTTCTAAGTGACAATTTTTGGAATGGGGTATGTGAAGGAATAGGGATTGGTTTTTAATTCGCATTTCCTCCTAATTAATGAGTAAAAGCTTGCATCCTCATATCCCAACAGCTTGAGGTTGTAAGCTGACATCTGCAAATTAATGCACTTGCTTTGGTCTTGTAAAGAAAAATGTTCTACATCAGATGCAACTACTGCAGTTAATAATCATGGTTTTTGTGGATTTGTTAAAGACTGTTTTCTTGTCTTGTTGGGCTTTGGTTGGGTTCCTTTTATTACCCTTTTAGTTCTTTAATGTTTAAGGAACATTTGTGTTTACTGAAAAAAGTCAAGACATAGATTATGCAAGTTCTGGTGCTTGAAAATTTCTTTTCCTGATGGTATTATAAAAGTCTCTAGGAAAGAAAAGAAATATGTATGCTGAAATTTTTATTTGATTTAGCCATTTATGGAGATTGTGAATGTCTTGAAATATAAATTGATAAGGTTAATGCTAGTTATTTTTGTTAAGTTTTTAATTGATTGCATGTCTTCTGGTGCAGAAATTTTTTCTTCAGGGAAGGTTTATATTTGGGCCGGATGTGAGGTCGCTAGCACTCAGTATTTTCCTAATTGTAGCTCCTGTCGCTGTCTTTTGTGTATTTGTTGCTAGAAAGCTGGTCGATGATTTTTCGCATCACTGGGGATTATCAATAATGGTTATTGCAATTGTTTTCACGTTTTATGTATGCTCTCTCTCTCTCTCTCTCTCTCTCTCTCTCTCTCTCTCTCTCTCTCTCTCTGTGTTGTTTTTTTTGGGGAAATGTGTGTATTGCGTACTTATTTAACTTAGAATATCT